GTTTAGGGTTTAGGGTTCCGTAAGGGGTTTCGGGCTTAGGATTTATAAGGGCTACTATAAGGGTGGTTTAGGGGTACTTAAAGGATCATGGGACTTAGTAAGTAGGGTTACAACTGAGGTAACTATACTTATAACCTCGATTAGGGGACCTATAGCCTTCCTTACTAAGTCCCATGATCCTCCAAGTAGGGTTTGGGGTTTAAGGGTTTAGGGCTTTGGGGATTTTTGGGTTTACGGCTTTCGGGCTTCAGGGGTTTAGGGTTTAAGGTTTGAGCATCTTATGGGGGAACTGTCAAGTTCAAGGTTTGAGCACGTGGGTCTAAGCACACTAGAAGTGAAAGCCTTCAGTATCCAAGTATCCCTAAACCCTCAACCCCTCCAAGAATCCGAAGTGCCCTAAAATCTTAAACCCCTGGGTTGGAAGCTAAACCATTTCCTTAAAGAAAATCTAGGCACGCAGTAAGTCGGGACCTGCTTGGGGTAGCCACACTGAGAACTACCTATGAAACGAAGGTACTTTGAGAGCAAAGCGGCCCAGAAACTTAACGGACACCAAGCTGAAGACTTTGGATTTAGAGTAGAGTCTTCAGAGCATCTTCGTCAAGGCTTCTTTTTCAGCGATCAGCGGCCTCTGCCTCATGCCTCATGTTGTGGGACTGACCTCCAGCAATCGCCGGATGTCGGGTGTAGCTGCCATCATCAGCGCCGTATTGCCATCCATGTCACGCAACTCCTCTGGGTTGCTCTTTATCACCCTGCTAAAATTCTAACTTTTAGTACCCCTAATATCAAAAAAAGGCTAATCCCAAAAGTGATAAAGCTCTAAAGTGAGCTGTAAAGTTCAACCAAGTCCTTGTCAGCGCCGGCCTCCAGCAGCAACTCTGCGACTCGGGCATGACCACCCATTGCCGAATAGATCAGCGCTGTGTTGCCCCGATTGTCACGAGCATCCTTGTGAGCACCGGCCTCCAACAGCAGCTGGAGGACTGCCTGATGACCCTCGCTGGCTGCACACATCAAGGCCGTGCGTCCGCCGCTGTTCGGCAAATCTACCAGGGCACCGGCTTCCAAAAGCAATCGCACGACTGGAGTGTGCCCGATTTTTGCTGCATTAAGCAATGGGCTACAGCCATGCATGTCACACAAATTCTTATCAGCCCCAGCTTCGAGAAGCAACTGCACGACATCCGCTTGGCCGTTCTCTGAGGCATGACTCAAGATTGAAATCTGCCCCTGGACAAACTCGTCTTCATAAATATCCGGGTCCATCGGGAGCTGCAGCATCCTTTCGACCTAAGCGTTTCGAGATGGCTCAGGCTCCTTCTTGCGGGGGTTTAGGGTTTAGGGCTTAGGGTTTAGGCTATGGGGACAGCGCACGGCTTAATTTCAATACATGTCTGCCCACCTGTGTCAGGTTGCCCAAGCCTGCTGCGTCGTAGAGATCTAGCCGCACGACCTCGGCACCCTTGTCGAAGTCCACTATCAAGAGCTGCAGATCCATCGCGGAATCCAACTGGACGTCATCACCCAAAGTGCTGTCCTCATGAAGAAGCCTTTGCCTGAAGCGTGGCGGCAGGCCGTGTTGCTGATGCAGTCGCTGCTTCAAGGCCTTCAGGGCTACTTTACTTATAAAAAAGGAGTCCCAAAATAATATAGGTAATTATTTAGACCCCTACATTAGGGTCCTTCAAGGCCTTCACGTCGCTCAGCTCTGTGAGAGGAAGGCTCGTCACCTCCTCCCCTGAGAGCAGCGTGACGCGCAGCATGGCCGGCTGAAAGAATACGGTTTTGGGGCCCAATTAATTAGGGTACCCCAAAAGGGACCATAATTTTGACAACTACCCACATAAGTAATTATTTAGGCTTCTATATTCTGCGAATGGACCGTAGATTTGGACGTGTCACTGGATCAAGCCAGGACCCAGGCGCGCGTTGAAAGGACTGGAGGTGGGAAAAGCTGTTCTGAGAACCGGAACCCGAAAGCTGAACACTACTGTTGATGATATAAGTCCTGCATTACCTTAAGGACCCTACACTATGGGAATTAGGGTATATTCCTTACGATGGGCAATGCAGGAGTTATATCATCAACCGCAACCCTGCGCCCAAAGCATCATTGCAATGACGCATTTCTTGAATTTTCGTGCGACTATCGCCTTTATTACTCTTGTTGCTATGATTGCTGACTTGACTACTGCAACCATCCTAAACCCTAAACCCTAATGATGAACCTCAGCCAGGGCCACCTTCAACAAATCTCGGGTTTCGGGCTTGGGGTTGGAAGTCTCTGCAGTATGGTTGATGATATAAACTCTGCATTGCCTATAATTACAAGGAATTTACCATAATTCACATAGTTTAGGGTTAGGGTTCTTAAGGTAATGCAGGATTTATATGCATAGCATATAGTGTAGTACAGCATAAATCTAAGACGGAGAGCCCGCAACCCTTTAGTCTTTTTGGTGGGTTTAGGGTTAAGCGTTTGGTGGTTATGGAGTTCAGGCTTGGGTGGTCATAGGCTTTAGGGTTTACTGGTTATGGGTGTTTTGGGTTACAGGGTTTGGGGTTCAGGGTGCTGTTGCTCGAAGCACGCGAAGAAGTCCGGAAACCCCAAACATCTACGCATGTGAGGGAGTTCCTGATCTTTCTAGATCTCAAAGAATGTACCCTGCAACCCTACTTAAAGGATGATGGGACTTAGTAAGTAGGGTTCTAACTACGGTAACTATACTTATAACCCTAATTAAAGGACTTATAACCTTACTTACTAAGTCCCATGATCCTCCAAGTAAACCCCAAACCGCAAAACCCTAAACCCCAAAACCCAAAGCCCTAAAGAATATACCCTAAACCCTAAGCCCTATCCCATCCCTCGGCGAAGAGCAAGCTTCGGTATCGTAAAACCAGCCCCGGTCTGCACTGCCCGAAGGTTCATGCGCAAGGTTCCAGCTATGTGCCTTCTGTTTAGGGTTTAGGGTTTCGGGCTTAGGATTTAGGGTTTAGGGTTTAGCTTTAAGGGCTTTAGAGAGGGACATTCATAACTAGAAGAGTTATTCGGGGTCTATTATACTAGAAACCCTAACGAAGACTCTTAGGACATGGGAGTTTCCGAAAATTAGGGGTACATTATTTGGGGTTCCTTACAAGGATCCTACTATTTACGGTACTATATTAGGGTCCCCTATTTTCGGAAACCCCCATGCATTCCGCCCCCTTTGTTTTTGGGTGGGTTGGGATTCGTGCGACGTCGGTGTCCAACCTTCCGGGCCGTCTCACAGGTTCTCAATTCTGGTTCCCTTGGGGTTTAGCTTTTAGGGTTTAGGGGTTTAGGGGTTTAGGGTCGGGGCTATATCAAAGACGGGTATTCTTAATCCTTATTGGGCTGTTTATATGACAAAAATATAAAATTGTCTAACAAAAAGGATCCACAGTTGTCTTGCCACAAGGATTGTTTGTACTACGTCAATGATAAGGAACAAGCGGCACAAGTGCAGTTACTCATACTTTCCGAAAGCCCCTTAAATCCGAAACCCTCAGACCCCTAAACCCTTAAATCCTGAACCCCTAGACCCTTAAACCCTGAACCCCTAGACCCCTTTCAGCAGAGAGGGATCCCAGGGTTTGGAGTTTAAGGGCTCCATCCTTGGGTTTATGGAGTGTAGGGGTTTGGGGTTTAGGGTTTTAGGGCTAACTGGAACTCAGTTTCGCGATAGGTTCTCATATGACTACGTATTTCGGAAGCTCACTCAGACTAATGATTGGCACCCCTACGTTCATCCAGGTAGGTCCTACCTTAACCTACCAAAACCTAGCCTTTTGTAGGTTATGAATCTAAACCCCTAATCTAGATTTTGCACGGACCCTACGAACAAGTAGGTTTTTGTAGCTCGAGGTGTATCCTTGCTCCATTCACCAAAGGGGTCTTGTTGCAACAACACGACATTAAAGCACAGGGCCTAAGTGAAGTCTTTTGGTCCGTGAAAAGTATGTACCTAATTATAATATACAAATTTGCACAGTACCCTAAACCCTAAACCCTAAACCCTAAACCCTAAACCCTAACAGCAATCACTACATGACATTTCCCTTCAGGTGGCTGAAGATCATAATCGGCACGCTCTTTAGCAGCCCTAGGCCAGGTGTGACCTCCTGAACCCTGAACCCTAGATTAACCCCGGTACTGGGGTTTAGGGTTTAGGGGTTTAGGGTTTAGGGTTTAGGGTTTAGGGTTTAGGGTTCTCCCCGGCACTAGCATCAGCATAAAAGCCCGAAATATGCTCTCCCGTGCCGAATCCCTAGTATGAGTCTGACTTCAACTACACCCTACAACCGTAGACTCCAGCCCCCCCCACTCACCCTGTCAACCCAACACCCCAAACCCTAAAACCCTAAAACCCTAAAACCCTAAAACCCTAAACCCTAAACCCTAAACCCTAAACCCTAAACCCCAAACCCTAAAAACCCTAAAACTCTAAAGTCACATAGCCCTGCAAAGCCCAGGCCTACAAAGAAGCTGGCGTCGGAGGCGTCGGTGCCATGCCCCCGGTCGCCATGGGACTTAAGGGCTTGAGGGTTTAGGTTTAGGGTTTAGGGTTTAGGGTTTAGAGTTTAGGGTTTAGGGTTTAGGGTTATTCTTCGGGGTCGGGCTTGGGATTTGAAGGCTTATAAAGATTCCTTTCGGGTCTTTTTAGGGCTTTGATGGTTTTTAGGGTTTCGGGCTTACACTTCCTTTAAGGGTTTATGGCTCCTTTAAAGGTTGCTATGATGAGGGGACCTATTGAGAGCCAGGGTTTGGGGCATTTCAGGCTTTAGGGTCCCGTGCTCTACTCGGAGGCTCATGGGACTTAGTAGGCCAGGTTATAAGTCCCTCAATTGGGGTTATAAGTAAATATAAGTACATAAGTACAGTTACCTTTATTATAACCGTACTGACCAAGTCCCATATTCCTTTAAGTAGGTAATCGCTTTAAGGGAGGGTCCAATCCTTGGGGTCGAAGGGCCTGAGGTCTACTGGACACCTTCATGAACGAGTTTGTTCCTTGCACCATAGCAGCAGCACCAAAACGAGAACGTCGGCCTTGATAGCCTGCTGTTTCTGATGCCCTTGCCAGTCGCACCCCGCAGAACACGGCAGGTGTACATTTCCTAGCGTCACCTGTTTCAATGATTGTGTCCTGAGCCGCATGGGTTCCAATGGAGCGGTCTGGAGCACATGTTCAGGGGCATTGTGCTGTAGTTGTTGGCCGGCAGGCAAGCAGCCGTAGCAAAACAGGCAGGCAGGTGGGTAGGTCAGGCGTGTTAGGCTAGACTGGGCTGGGTTAGGTTTGATTTCGTTAGGTGGAGTAGGTAGCTGGTAGCTAGTGCGGTAGGTAGATGCGTAGGTAGGTAAGTAGCAGGTGGGGTGGTCGGCAGGAAGGAGGGTCTTTGGAAGTGCAGGTGTGAGCAAGGGCACGGTCAGTGGGACCAGGGTTGTTGAAGCTCGTGTGGTGCATGCCCAGGGGCATACTCAGAAAGACTTCCTGAACCTTCTTGACTCATGAGATATAAGAACTCCTGTAAAATGAAAATAAGCTGTTGAGGATGCCCAAGTGTTCGTTATCCTGTAAGATGCCCATTACTTGGAGGTTCATGGGTAGTTATCAGCAAAGTTATATGTCCCCTAATATAGGCCACAATAACAGTTTCCCCTACTTGTCAGCCCACTTATAACTACCCAGGAACCTCCAGGTAGAGAGCACGGAGTACCCTAAACCCTAAACCCTAAACCCTAACCCCTAAACCCTAAACCCAAATGACTTTTACCGCAGGGTCTTGGTGGCGGTCTCTGTGCTCCACTGCAGACTTCCCATTCGAAGCTGTACAGAGGCGAAGTCTCGAAACACCGCTAAACCCTAAACCCTAAACCCTAGGGTTTAGGGTTCAGGGTGTAGGGGTTTAGGGTTTAGGGGTTTAGGGTGTAGGGTGAACCCTAGACCCTAAACCCTAAATCTACTACAACAACTGCCTTCCTTCAAGCCTTCTCCCTGGGATCCGAGTAGGAGCCCCGCAAGGGCATCTAAGGGGTCAACCGTTGAACGTACTGCCCTGACTGTTGATGGTATAAATTCTGCGTTGCTGAACTCTAAACCATACACCCTAACCTCCCTGACCATTCACCCAACAAGCCCTAACGCCCGAATTTCTTCTCCTAAACGCACTGAGGCTTCGAAGTGGACAAAACATGTTCCTGGCCCTTGACGCTCCTTGTGTTTAGGGCATATAGGCAAGATCAGCATCGGTGTAAGGAGTAGGATTTGGGCTGCGGACTTTGGGGCTTAGCTTAGGGCAAAAGGATCTAAGCTTGTGGGCTTCGGGTTTCCCTTTGTTGGCGTGTTTTGTCTCTGGCGAGGGGCATTGAATCATTTCTACCACACCCCGCAAGAATAGTCAGCCATCAGCTGCCGCACAATGCCTGCTGCAAACGCTATGGCTTTTCTTGTTATTGTGGTGATATAAGGGGACATCAAGTTGTTTGGCGTTTGGGGGATATGCTATACTATAAATCTATCAGTGTGGTAGGGACCATCAGGGAATGGTTTGTCATTCATTTGGGCTTCTAGTTTGATCCGGATCTAGAAGTCATATAGCTTTTGTGGTTGAACTTGCTTCTGCACTGTCCGACGGGGTATCCGTGAGGAAACGGCGTCGCTTCGATAGGGAGTCCTGTCCAGTATCTTACGGGGCGGAGGGTTCATGTTATTGGGATTCTGCAGTGTTTCCACTACCCAATCAAAACGTTCAAGATTAATTAGGGCTAGGGTTTATAAGGTAACCGGCGCTTCGTTAAGGTTCGCGTTCGCGGAGAAGGCGAATCCAGAAGTTTACGCTGGCCACTTAGGGTTTCAAAACTGGTGTTCTAGGGATTTTGGTTTTTTTCGAGGTTGCTCTAACTTAGGGGCTGAGTACCGCTAGCCCAAACAAGCTCAACCGCTTGAATTATAGTAGGATTGTAGAAGCCCCAAAAGGTTAAAGGCTACCTACTTCTTGCTGGAGCTTCATGAGGCAAATTGGGGTTTAGGGGTTTAGGGGTTTAGGTTTTAGGGTTTAGGGTTTAGGTATTAGGGTTTAGGGTTTAGGGGTTTAGGGTTTAGGTGCTAGGGACTATGCGGGAACAGTGCTGGGAATTATTTGAGCACCATTTTTCCCTAAGCCTGGCATCTCAGGAGAGCGGTCTCCTAACATCAGGGGCACCTCATGTCGGGTCCTTGCAGGCTTAAGGTTTAATTACATTAACTCACCAAGCCCACCTCTTTTTTAACACCAATATGGAATTTACAGGGGCCCTACCAAACAAAAAATAGGTTGTGGTAGGTTGAGGCAGGGTTACATCACGGAGGTTCCTCATTTAGGGGCCCTTTCAGCAGATGAAGCTGAACCCTGCACATGCTAGTGCTTAGTGGGGAATGGGGGAATGGGTTTAGGGTTTAGGGTTTAGGGTTTGGGAATGGGGGAATGGGTTATAGGGGATTGCTATAAAGGACCTTGAGGGACTATCATAGGGATCTTGAGGGACTATCATAGGGATCCATTCCCCCATTCCCTACTAAGCACTAGACAGTCAAGACTTGCAGCATTAGCTACTGTCAGTTGAACATGGTTTGGGGTTTAGGGCTTAGGGTTTAGAGGTTGGGGTTTCGGGGGTTTAGGGTACTCCTTAAGACGGCTTGGTGCATAGTACTGTCTACCCGCCAGCATCATCTAAACTTCCTCAGCGTGGTATTGTCAGACTGCAACCTGCACGTGCATATTTTTTGTTGCATGCCCGTGATCGATGTGAACCATGCCTAAGTCCGAACAAATGCGACACGGTGGCTCATGACAGCAAGTTCATGATCGCGCATTTGCGTCCTTGCTTGGCATACATCGATGCTGTGACCCCCCAACGGTTTGCCAAGTCCTTGTCAGCGCCGGCATCCAAAAGGAGACGGACGATTTCGACGTCGTGACCTCCCGCCGCCATCATCAAAGCGGTAGTTTCATCTCTGTCCACCAAGTTCGTATCGGCTTCGGCTTCCAGCAGCCAGCGCACGAGGTCGACGTTGCCTTGTTGACATGCAAACATCAAAGCCGAAGTGCCGCCATGGCTTCCCGGGTCTGTGTCGGCACCAACCTCCAACAGTAAACGTGCGATTTCGACCTGGCGACGGAAACAGGCCTCAGTCAGAGCCGTGTGGCCGTCTGTGCTTGCTTTATCCACACTGGCTCCGGCCTCCAAAAGCAGAGTCACGACTTCGACAAGACCACGTGCAGATGCATACAGCAAAGCTGTGTAGCCGCGCTTGTCTGCCAGATCTTTGTCGGCACCGGCCTTCAACAGCAGACGTGCGGTTTCGACTGCATCGTTGGCTTCCAAGTCCTGGTCGACACAATGACCAATTTCAAATTCGGATCGGCATTCGTGCAGACACATCAAAGCCGTCCGGCCCTCGTTGTCTGCCGAGTCTTTGTCCACGCTAGCCCCTAGCAGCAATTGCACGATTTCCCCGTGGCCACGACAACTTGCTGCAATGAGAGGTGTGCAGCTGTGAGGGGATGCTTTGTCTGTGTTGGCTCTGGCCGCCAGCAGCAAGTTCACGACTTCGACAAGACCGCGTTCAGATGCGATCAGCAAAGCAGTGTAGCCGTGGTGGTCGGCAATGTCCGTAGCGGCACTGTTCTGCAGGAGCAGGCGTGCCGTCTGAGCTTGGCCATGAACAGTTGCCAGCATCAGAGCTGTGTAGCCGGCGTGGTCTGCCACATCTGTGTCAACACCATCCTCCAGCAGCAAATGCACGACTTCACCATGGCCAGAGCTAGATGCAAACATCAATGCCGTGGCACCGCAGTAATCTTGAAGATCCTTTTCCGCACCGACCTCCAGCAGCAAACGCACGAGTTCGACGTGGCCCATACGGGAGACCATCATCAAAGCTGTTGTGCCTTCCTCGTTTGCCAGGTCCCTGTCGAAGCCGGCCTCTAGCAGCAAACGTGCCACCTCGACGTGGCCACCTTCACATGGGTAGCTGTCAAAATTAGGGCCCCTTTTGGGGAACCCGAAATAATAGGTGCCGTATTATAATAAGGACCCAAAAAGGGAGGGACCGTAATTTTGACCTTCACCTTCACATGCCATGTCCAGAGCTGTGAAGCCACGCGAGTCAGGCACCTCCGGGTCTTGAGGAAGCTGAAGCATGGACTCAACCTGAAGCTGTCTGGTGGGGAATGGGTTCTAGGGACTACTATAAGGGACCTTAAGAGAGTATCATAGGGATCCATTCCCCCATTCCCTTCTAAGCACCAGACAGGAAGGGTGTGCACGACGTCAGACCGTCATCACTATCGTAGCTCGACGGCTTCGTTGAGATTGCCACTGTTGCCGCACTCAAAAAACATAAGGCCGTCAGTCCACAGCTTAGGCTTGGTTTGGCTTGGAATCGAGGGCTTGAGACCAGGAGGAAAACATGAAAACCACGTCTCTGAGGTTTAAGGTTTAGGGGTTACCCAGAACCCCAAAAGGATCTAAAAAATAGATCCCCTAAGGTGGTTCCTATAAAGTACCCTTTAGTAGTTAGGGTCCCTAACTAGGGGATCTATTTTTTAGATCCTGTTGGGGGTCTGCGTAAGGTTTACAAACTCACACACACACACAACACACACAGGGACACTCAGCCCAAAGGCCCAGAGGCGGACACTCACAGGCCGTTGCCTCCAGGTTACATGTGCTACCCTTCAACCCTGAACTCTCCGAGGAGTGGTGCTAATCTGCTTTCCCGTCGATGTACCTTACTAAACCCTAAACCCTTAACCCTAAACCCTAACCCTTAAACCTAACCCTTAAACCCTAAACCCTAAACCCTAAAAGGCTCAGAGCACCTAGACCCTAAAGCCGACTTGGGTCCCGATTCCTTCAGGTAGACTGCCCGGGGAGGAGCCCCCTTTTCCACATGGGTGGTTGTCAAAATAGGGTCTTGGGGCCCAATATACTATACTTATACCAAGGATCCCTACGGAATAACATGGGTGGTTGTCAAAATTATGGTCCCTTTTTGGGGCCCCCTAAATAATAGTCCCAGTCTTTTAGGGCTCAGGGCAGACACATGTGGGTGTCCCTTTTTGGGTCCTTGTTATAATACGGCACCTATTATTTAGGGTACCCCAAAAGGGACCATAATTTTGGCAACTGCCCACATGGCTCACGTCAACATGGAGCCACTGGAAAGACACCGGTATGTTTGACAAAAAAGCCTAGAATAATAGTAGTGGTAGCAATAACAATAGCAGCAGTAATGGCATTAGTACCAAAATAACAGTTTTTTATGAGGGCTTGGGGCTTAGGGTACTATTTTGGGGACCTGATAAGAGACCCTAATGCAGAGAGACACCCATAATGCAAGGATGAGGTCTTGCCGTAATTCAGAGGCCTGAATAACTAGAATGGGGTTTTGGCCTCGTTTAGAGTTGCATTAAAATAAGGAGTCCTCAGCATAATTATGGGATAATGGGCCAGAAAACCCCTGTTCTAGTTCTCAAGGCCCCTATCTAAACCCTAAACCCCTAAACCCTAAAGACCCTAATTAGGCCCTAAACCCTAAACCCAAGACCCTAAACCCTACAGACCCTAAAGCCCAAACCCAAGACCCTAAACCCTAAACCCTAAACCCAAGACCCTAAACCCTAAACCCTACAGACCCTAAACCCTAAACCCAAGACCCTAAACCCTAAACCCTACAGATCCTAAAGCCTAAACCCTACAGACCCTAAACCCTAAACCCTAAACCCTACAGACTCTAAACCCTAAACCCAAAACCCTAAAACCCGAAAACCCTACAGACCCTAAAGCCTAAACCGTGCTATATGGGAGTTTCCGAAAATTAGGGGTACCTTATTCTGGGGCCCTTATAATAAGGATCCTATTATTTGGTGTGCTATATTATCCCTAAACCCTAAACCCTAAACCCTATTTTTTGAAAACCCCCTATGACTCCAAAACGAGAGCCCGCCAACCTTGGAGGTCGAACCCTGTGCTGCTGCGAGAACGAAATCGTCCGCCTGCTCTTCTGAAACCTGGGCTTAGGGTTTAGGGTTTAGGGTTTAAGGTTTAGGGTTTAGGGCTTCCCTGGGCTTCCCTGTAAGGGTTCCTTTTAGGGGCTCCTTTAGGGGCTCCTTTTAGGGCTCCCTTTAAGGGTTCCTTGTAAGGGCTCCTTTAAGGGCTCCTTTTAAGGGTTCCTTTTAAGAGCTCCTTTAAGGGTTCCTTTTAAGGGCTCCTTTAAGGGTTCCTTTTAAGGGCTCCTGTTAAGGGTTCCTTTAGGGGGCTGAGTACCCTAGCCCAAAAAAGAGGCTAGCCGTTTGAATTATAGTAGGACTATATGCGCCCCACCTCTACTCTGCCCCGAAGTTCCTTTTGTAATGATGAAAACCTTGGCCGCTGTCAAGGGCTATGTGCAAGTAAAATCGCAGACTTGTGTTTTTCGCCAGATTTGTATCATATGATACAAATTCGAAAGTTGCACTTAAGTGCCGACTGGAAACGTCTGCAAAGGTTAGGAGGACAAGCTCTAGACTTGTGGGGCAGTCAAGCTTCGCAGTATCCTCCAAAGTCTCGCCATCGAGGAGGAGCCTCTGCCTGAATCGTGGAGGCAAGCCATGCAGCTGAGTCAAGCGCTTTTTCAAGCTCCTCACGTCCTGTGAATCGTCCACCGGTATCTTCGCCAACTCTTCCCCTGAGAGCATGTTGACGTGCAGCATCTTTGCGAGATGGAGACGCTAGCGAAGGGGAAACAACAATGCAGCATATGGTAAGCCGAAAAAGGGCTGCGGGAGTTTCGATGGCCACTTTTGTCATGCGCGGTTGTCGCTAGTGATCAAACGATTGCTCCTGCATGATGAGCCTGACCTCTTAACTACAACGTACTACCTCGTCTTTAATCCTGCTATGCCTACTTCTGACTATCAGCAAATCTCCACTGCTGCAAACAGCTGTCTCTGCCGTTTCTTAGGGGTTCATAGTAACCCTAAACCCTAAACCCTAAAACCTACTTAACAACTCCTCCTCTCAGTCTGGAGCCCTGTTAGGCGGATTTAACGATTTCGACATTGCCGATATGCTGGGAAGTTTGCTTCACATGCCATAGCGAACAGCCCTGATCTGTATACCACTGCATATACTTTACACCCAGAACCCTGAGCCCTTGCCCTTGCCTCTACCACACGGTCCATGCGGCCGGCGTACTTCTTCAAGAGTGCTCGGTTGCGCTCCTGGTACTTAAAGGACCATGGCACTTAGTAACTAAGGTTGGAAACAAAGTCTCCAATTAGGGCTATAAGTAAGGTATCGATGCATATAAGTACCCTAAACCCTATACATATAAGAATTACTTATAGCCGCGATTGAGGTACTTATAACCTTGCGTACCAAGTCTCCCAAGCCTATATGCAACAGAATCCTTGTAGTACGGCAATATAGAAACCCTATAAACAACAAATTGAAGGATCCCTGAACAGTCTCCGAAAAGGGCTTAGGTTTTAGGGTTCAAGGGTGTCGTCGGGCTATAGGGTTTACGCTTTTTGTTCCTGGGGTTTCGGTGTTCAAGGCTTTAGGGTTTAGGTTTTTTTGAAGGAAGACTCTCCAAAAGGGGTCTACTGGGAGGATCATGGGACTTAGTAAACAAGGCGATAAGCACCTTATCTGGATTACTATAAGTACTTGGAGCTTCATGGGTGATTATAAGTGGGGTTTTGCGTAGGGTTACTATAATTTTAAGCCATATTAGGGGACTTATAACCCTTTTAAGAACTACCCATGAACCTCCAAGTATAGAATATATGCCATACTTCCTAGTTTGGAAGCTCCAGGATTCTCCATGTAGTGCTAAGATAGCTTAGAGCTTACGTGTTTAGGGTTTTCGGTTTAAGGTTCAGGGTTGGGATTGGGGCTGTATGAGGGTCAAAAATGGTTGAAGGGCTTGCTAAAGCACTTTATATGGTCTCGGGTTTAATACATAGATCTTGAGCGAATCCTACATGTGGGATAGCCCCGAAGCACTGAGCGCTGGACAAGAGCTTCAGGAAGTCACCCTAAACCCTAAACCCCTAAACCCAAAACCCCTAAACCCTAAACCCTAAACCTTGGCACCCGACAGTCGACAGACAATCCATCCCAGCGGGCTTACTACAAGGACTACCGGGTTTAGGGTTTTAGGGTTTTAGGGCTTAGGGTTTAGGGTTTAGAACCCTGGATCACTGGTCTGGAGAAACCCCGGGAAGTTCTTATGGTAGACTTCCCTAAACCAACAGCAACAATAATGAAAAGTTACTAATCTCCCAAGCCTAAACCGTAAACTCTAGAACCCTAAACCCCGAAACCCTAAACCCTTAGCTCCAAACCCTAAACCCAAAACCCCAAACCCTGAACTAACGTGTTCCAAAGAGCAAATCAATGCGGAGAATCCTACACCGTTGCGACCCGAACGTTAACTTGATAATGTTATCAGGGCCATTTTTCACTACACACGGTTTCGGGGTATATTAAGCTCTAACTATATAAGGAGGCCTTAGGAATACTGCTGATGATATGAACCCTGCATTACCTTAAGGACCCTAAACTACGGGAATGATGGGTAGATTCCTTATTATGGGTAGTGCAGGATTTATATGGGTGGTTGTCAAAATTATGGTCCCTTTTTGGGTCCTTATTATAATACGGCACCTATGATTTACGGTACCCCAAAAGGGACCACAATTTTGACAGCCACCCATATCGCCAACCGTAGGTCCCCAAAAGATTCGTAGGTTCTTGCGGTTAAGGTCCTAATATTTAGAATAGGGTTTTGGGGGGCCTCTTAAAGCGTGCCTTCAAGGGTTGTATAAGGGCTACAATAAGAATTTAGGCTGTAGGGGCCTGAAGAACTCGAATAGGGTTTCGGGGGTAAACTTTACTATAACTGCAATAAGGAACCCCCAAAATAATGTATTTAGGCCGGTAGGCTTTGGAGCTTAGGATTTGGGTGTAGGGCTTTAGCATTTCATTGGGGGTGGGTGGGCTGGCCTCGTCTGGAAATCCCATCGATTCGAGCTCCTTCAGCTTGTCCTCACGTGACTGGAAATCGTTTACAACGGCTCTTTAGGATAAAGAGCTGCAGAAACCCTGCAGATCGTGCGCACTGGAGTTTTAATACTAAGAGTTCCACCAACAACGGATCCTAATATACCTGAAGCCCTAAAGCCTAAACCCTAATTCCTACACCCTAAAATAACAGGATCCCTGGCATGCCAGAAGATTGAGGTACTCCCACTTAAAGGATCATGGGACTTAGTAAGTAGGGTTATAACTAAGGTAACTGCACTTATATTTACTTATACGGGTTATGATTATAGTTACCCTGAATATAATCCTAACTACCCATGAACCTCCAAGTACTAGAACCCTAAACCCTAAGCTTGAAACCCAAAATCATAGAACCTTTAAGTAGCTTTATAACTACCCATGAACCTCCAAGTATCCTAAGACCCTATAGAGCCCTTATAGAGTCTCATTCAGCCCCTATATAACCCCTTAAGGTCCCTTTAAGATTTTATTAGGCCCCAATATTAGGACCCACAGGAGCTTCGGGTATAACCCCTAAACCCCTAAACCCAAAGCCCTAAGCCCTAAACCCTAAACTCCTAAACCCTAAACCCTAAACCACGTTGAGGACGTTTGGAGTTGGAAAAACTCGCAAGGACCACAAAGGCCTCGTGGCCCGCGGGTGCCGCTTCCTCAGGAGGCGGCCGGGGTGCCTGGCTAGGGCTTTTAGGGTTTAGGGCTTAGGGTTTAGGGTTTAGGGCTTTAGGGTTTTAGGGCTTTAGGGACCCACCTAAAACCCGGTTGTAGGGCTTTAGGGTTTTACGGCTTTAGGGTTTTAGGGCTTTAGGGACCCACCTAAAACCCGGTTGTAGGGCTTTAGGGTTTTACGGCTTTAGGGCTTTAGGGTTTTAGGGCTTTAGGGACCCACCTAAAACCCGGTTGTAGGGCTTTGGGGTTTTAGGGCTTTTAGGGTTTTTAGGGTTTTAGGGCTTTAGGGACCCACCTAAAACCCAGTTGTACGGCTTTAGGGTTTTAGGGCTCTAGGGACCCACTGAAAACCCGGTTGTAGGGCTTTAGGGTCTTACGGCTTTAGGGTTCTAGGGCTTTTGGGTTTTAGGGCTTTAGGGACCCACCTAGGGTTTTAGGGCTTTAGGGTTTTAGGGCTTTAGGGACCCACCTAAAACCCGGTTGTAGGGCTTTGGGTTTTAGGGCTTTTAGGGTTTTAGGGCTTTAGGGACCCACCTAAAACCCAGTTGTACTCTTTAGGGTTTTAGGGCTTTAGGGTTTTAGAGTTTTAGGGCTTTAGGGACCCACCTAAAACCCGGTTGTAGGGCTTTAGGGTTTTACGGCTTTAGGGTTTTAGGGCTTTAGGGTTTTAGGGCTTTAGGGCTTTCCGAGAACCCGGTTGTAGGGCTTTAGGGTTTTACGACTTTAGGGTTTTAGGGCTTTGGGATTATTAGGGTTTAGGGTTGTAGCGCTTCGGGTCTAGGGTATTACGACTACTACCAGAGCACTCTGAGACAAGGAAGGAGTATACGTTAAATCAGACTTCTAAGTCCCAAACAATGAATGCTTTGGTTTAGGGTTTAGGGTTTAGGGTTTAGGGTTTAGGGTTTAGGGTTTCAAGCATATTCATAAATCGAACGGGACTGGGCGCCGTGGGTACGGCAGAAGTCTTATAGTTCTCCTTCTACTATTCCGTACTCTAGAACTCTTACAACCGCCGCGCAGTTGCGATATGTCCAGGCGTCGTCCTTGAGAAGTCCCAACTTCTCGGCTTCCTTCTTGGACTCCGGGTTGTTCAGGGCTATGTTGGCTCGAGCGATCAACTCCCGGAATAGGCATTCAAAGACGAAGACGCACATGGTCGGTGTCGTCGGCGCCTCGTGGCTTTTCTGCTTCCATGAGACAAGGAGAGGCGCGGGTCCAAAGAAGGGTCGTACGAAAGAAGCACGAAGTCGAGCTTAACGTTCTCGGATGACTGCTATAAATCACCAGCCGCGCCCGCAGCGCGCCGTACTTGTGCAGCAGGTCCTTGGAAACCCCAATAGCCTCAATCGCTAATTGCCGGTTGCTGCTTTAAGTCAGGTTCAAGAGGCGAAGTATGCCGCGTCCGGAGTGGGGAGTCCAGCGGCAGCAGTGGGGACCAGCTAGCATTTATTGTTGGCTATGCCTTTCAGCTACTGATGTTCGAGCTATTGATACGTTGTAGTCATTTAATTTGTAGTAGCTATGCTCATACCCTAAACCCTAAACCCTAAATCCTATACCGTCCTAAACCCTAAAACCCCAAAGCCACCCTGAACCCCCAAACCTAAACCCTAAGCCCTAAACCCCCAAAACCCAAAGCCCCCTAAGCCCTAAACCCCCAAAGACCTAAACCCTGAACCCGAAGCCCCCAAACCCTAAACCCCCTAAACCCAAAGCCCCAAGCCCCCAAACCCTAAAACCTAAACCCCAAAACCCTACACCCAAAACCCTAAACCCCCAAAGCCCTAAACCCTAAGCCCCCGAAACCCTAAACCCCACCCAAAACCCTAAACCCCCAAAACCCAAAAAACTAAACACCCCAAACCCCCAAAGCCCTAAACCCTAAACACCCTAAACCCCCAAGACCCAAAACCCTAAGCCCCCGAAACCCCTAAACCCAAAACCCCCAAAGCCCTAACCCGCCAAAGCCCTA